AAAGAGAGGGTGTTGTAAACAGGTAGTGAGCCGATTTGTCTTCGGATTTTACTCAAATTATAGCCTTCTTGTCTCTTTGACAGATAATGCGGGGGCTCCTTTGTAACCTTTATTAAAGAAATAAAAAATATTTAATCGGGTCGTATAATCGAAATTCCCACGAATATTAATATACCTTTTCTAATTGATTTAATCTCTCTATAATCTATTTTGATTCGAACCATTTCGGGGCTAGAATTAGACGCTATTGTCGATGACATTGTTATATCTTCATTATCAGTAGATATCTACTTTTAATGATATTTTTTTTTATATGCATTTGTCGAGAAATATAAATAGGATACCTTCCAAACCATTAAGTGCGTAGATTGAGCTATTATAAATCGAAAAAATGTGATTTATATGAATAAGAATAAATAATATAACTTAAATTAAAGAATGCTTAGACGTTTCTTGAGTAATTTTTCTGTCTGTGTACTTGAATATAGTCTATAAGCTTTACTAATATCAACCCAAAACATTTCAATGCACGGATTTTTAAACTAAGGTTAATAAGTACAGTCGTGGATTAACTGATAGGGTCATTTGTGATAGTAGTTTAGATAGAGGCTTAGGGTGCACGCATGTGCAAAAATTTGATTATTATAGAAAATAACTTCAAAAAAAACAAACACGAGCCATATCGCGGAATTATAAAAGTTTTTACATTTATTTAACTGATACCGATATAACTTTAAAGCTAGGTATAAAACCTAATTAAATATGATGAACTTTGATGAAGAGTAAATAGATTTCGATTACATATTTATGATAACTGAGAAACTTAGTAAATTATTAATAATGGTTTTCCAAGACACGTAAATCAGCAAACAATACATTTTTTCTTTAGGATATCTGATTTGTCTAACGTAAGATTATCTTTAAAACTTTGTTAATTCAATTCAGCTTTAATAAAAATTCGGTACAACATCCCATTGTATTTTATTAATAAAGTTAAATATAAAATATAAAAAAATTGTTGTCTGATATACCCTAATAGTTGCGCAGTCCAAGCCATAATGCATTTCAAAAATGTATTCACCTATTTCTATTTTTGAAAGAGTAAAACCAAATTTGGTAGATTTTCACACTTTTTGAAAATCTACCAAATTTGGTTTTACTCTTTCAAAATTAAATGGATTTTCATCAAGTAAAGGCCGAAACAATAAATAACCTATTTCTATTGTAACTACTGACAAAGTAACTTATACTCAGCATTTTTATAAATAAGCATAACAATTTCTGATTGTTTCAAAAAGAATTATCGCCTTCCACGTATCGTACGCATAAAGTGTTATCTCATTCACTTCATAATAATTCCAAACATAATTTCAAAACTGAGAAACAAACTTGACTTACAAAACAAGAAGGACGGAACTATACATCATCGAAGATAGCAGCAAACCGCTTATTGAACATAGTAGGCCTTGAATAGGCCGTCCACCCCGACACACCACACACCCTCTCTCCTCCCCCCGTTTAGCCCCCCATCGCCCAGTGACGTTCCTACCGCGGTCCCGCGGTCGCACTTGCACTTTTGCAATGATATAATTATAGAATTTGGCATGCGCAGTGTACTATGCCACCAGGACCAGTGTTGCCGATGGGATGTTACCGTTTTTTAGTTTTAAATTTTATTTCCTAGATTTATAGTTCGAAAGTAAAAACTATTCAATTATCACATAAATTAAAACATGATCACTTAATAGTGCCTATTTTTTTCTATTTAAAATTATTAACACGCTGTTTAACTATCATGTCTATGGGGGTTGTGATTGACAACCTGTGTTATTTTTAACAGGTCTGTTATTTTATAAACACAGAAATTACAACCTGTTCACAAATAACGTGTCTGTTAAAAATAACATTACTTGTCAATCATAACCCCGTAAATTAGTTCCTTTTTTTATTAATTTAAAAGATTTATCTATCATTAACTGATAAAATACCTATTAAATACTTTTTATCACTATCCAAAAAAGGTTTTGCGTTTAGAAATGTTACCGCAGAATTGACGTTTTCCGCAAACTGGCATTCAGTGACAACTCTTTGTCGCACTAGAGCTAAAACAATTTAAAAACCCTTGCCTAATTTTAATTAGGTGTAAATAAATTATGCTACACATGATTCTAAACAAACATTTGAATTTCTTATCCGAACATATTTGAACAGAGATTGAAGCTCAATACAATAATTGTATTACGCCTTTCTCATGTCCAAAAACTTTGTAAAATTGAATATATTTATATATTTATATGGCATGAATAACACATATTTATTAAATATATGTGCGAAATTAAACCCCATTCATAAACAATACCACACTAGAAAGATTATGAAGATCAGAAGGTAAACAATACATTATACACGATATGCAAAAAAAAATTACTTACGGTGTTACCCATAGTAGGCAACTGTAATTTAATAGATTCAGAAATAATTATTATTTTGCAGGAATAATTAATAGTGAATAACTATTTAAAATACATTAATTTTAATAAACTGAACCGATATTCATAGAATTTCTTGGTTATTATTTGGTACACCCTGCTACTGCCGATTTAACTATTGTCGAGAGGAACAACAAACAGCACGTCGGGTACGTGAGTTCGTATAGTTTCATTTGTTTGATAACTAATCTAATTTATTAGCACACCATACACAAATATCAAAATATCTAAACAAACAAAAGCTGTTGTACAATATCAGTGTCGAGAGTATTGTATTAAAGAAAATAATTTAAAGATTACTAGTTTCTTCTCAGTGGGCCATGAAATAAATAAGTTATGTCGGAGCTTACATCAGATCGTTGTCTTTAGTTTTTAAACCAGGCCTGCACAACTCACAAAAAAGGTCGTCAGCCTAAATGCAAAGTTTGTTACGTATAGTTTGACGTAGACGACAATGACGGGCCGTATGTTGTGCAGGCCTGCTTTAGACGATTGTATCTTTGTCTTTGTTAGTCAAGGCTAACTGAGGAGGAAACTTTTAAACACGTTATCATTTTCACTTGTAAGAAATAGATATCTCGCTAGTTAAAATCTCTTTATTTTTTACGAAGAACAACTAAACTAAAAAATTAAGAGCCGAATTTACTATTGTTATATGAATTATCACGTCATTTTGCATTATGTCGCCAATATAACGGAAGTTTTGGTGTCAAATATCAAAATGATAAGTTATTTTTATAAACGAGTTATTTCCTGTTTTATTTATGGTTACATTTACAGCAAAACGACATTCAGGCCATTTTTGAATATTAGTTTTCTTGTTTCAATAAAGGATTTTTACAAATTGAATTTTAGTATTACCGAAGGTATTTTAATGTTTCACCAATAATAATCATTATATATGTTGTAAGTAAAAGAAAAATGACTCATTGTGACACCCATATGACCGTCAAATTTTAAATGCCATTCATTTTACATCACTAGACAAACTCCTATTATATAGATATCTGCATTTGAATAAAAAGAATTCAAAAATAACTAAAAACTTGCTGACGCGACAACACCGCACGGTGGCCTTCACTCTCGCCGTTTGTGTGCTGGTATCTTCGCGTATGTGGTGTCGTTTTGTTTCTTTTTTCTTTTTGCGCTTTTTTTGGCCTATGAGGCGTTACGTGCTACGGCGACCGGAAATGGCTCGATTGCATTTTGTTTTTTCCGACCGCGAACAGCGCTCTCTTCTAAATTTCTACGGCATAATTATATCATAATGGCGCTTGTGCTCGTTTTAAGTGGCGTAATTGTTTTTCCATTTTTTTTTATTGTCTAAACTAAATGTTAAAAACCGACCTGCAATTTATTGTCTGGTTAAACTGCTATTGCAAAATTTGTTGTTAATATTTTTTCTAGTGCATTTTCACATTTAACATTCATCATTTTTATTAGTGAATATAATAGACCAAATTACTATTTTGCACCTTAGCGGTTCGAATGCTTGAGAAACTAGAAAATGAAAAATATCATTTGGTCCATTATTTTTAAATTTTGGTTCGTTAAAGACTACTTTATAAATACTTCCATGTTGTCCTCCTAGAGGACAGGTAAGCTTTAAGAGTATTGTTAGATGCAAAATAAAATAAAAAATTCATTTTTTAGCACACTACTTAAATTTAATTTGATTTAATTATAATTGGTATCTGGACTTATATTTTTTGCCGGATCTCAGTTCTTCATCTATAATAAAAATTATTTTTTAAGTTGGCAAAAATTTATTTACATTTACCTACAGGGTGTTAAAAGTAGCACCTGCATTCTAATTGAAACAGGTAATTAGAAGCAACAATGTCTAAGCTCTAAAGTTAAGGTTTTAAACGCATCTGAACTTTGAGATTAACTGGTGAAACGAAAAGTAAAAGCTGTAACATAATTATAATCTTCTACGCAACCGACGTCCTTCATATTCGAAAAGACTAAACATATCCAGAGATGAGATTTAAAAAAATGTAAAAGATTTCGCGCGCGTCTAAACATTTGCAAAAATATACTTGAAAGAAAAAATACCCAGCCTCGCCGCGCTTCCTGTAATTATATATCGGAAATAAAAATAGCTTGAGACAAGCGAGACGCCTATGTAACGAGGAAACTTGCAGTGATTGGTTAATCGGTAGCCTACGGGTCAGTCGTGATCGGCGCCGACATTACAACGTTGCTAAACTTGACAATTTAAAAAAAAAATACGATTCTCCTGAAATAATCAACTTAACAAATATTGTTTCCCTTATTAAACTAAATAAATCAAAACAAACGCTACAATATGTATACGAAACGAAAAATATTAATTTTGCTTTAGGTAACAAATTAACAAAAAAAAAGGAGACAATATTATTTTAAGACTGGCTAATCGAACAAGTTCAAATATCTAAATATCTAAAGTCAACAGTTTTACACAATTTTATTTAAATAAATCAGTGACAGATCAGAATCAAATACTAACGATCATTTTTTTTATTAAAGATTTGGACCCCTACAACAGCTATCTACTTCAACAACATCAAGTCCAGCAGAATCACCACATGCACCACCACAGTCAATCCCCCTTCACGACACCCTCCCCGCCGTCCCCACCAATCAGACACTCAATCCCCACCTCAGTCATTCAAGCCGCCACCAGCAGTATGTACGAGGATCCCTACATGCTAGGTTTCTCGCCAAGGAAGCTCAAAAAAGTCAAAAAACAAAAAATTGGAGAACCCGGCACTGTTAAGAGGAAGAGCAGAGAAGGATCGACTACCTATCTTTGGGAATTTTTGTTGAAACTTCTTCAAGATAGAGAGTATTGTCCTAGGTATATCAAATGGACCAATAGGGAAAAAGGAGTCTTTAAGCTGGTAGATTCGAAGGCAGTCTCGAGGTTATGGGGAATGCACAAAAACAAACCAGATATGAACTACGAAACCATGGGGAGGGCGTTAAGATACTATTACCAACGGGGAATACTAGCTAAGGTTGACGGGCAAAGGTTGGTCTATCAATTCGTCGAAGTACCTAAGGATATAGTCGAGATCGACTGTACAGGGGCGGCGTGAATTGCGCCCCCTTCTATTATAAATTAAACCCTCCAGCTGGCATGAGAACCGGCTGTGTCTCGAAAGTACAACAAATCACAAATTATTTATTTAGAAATTTTGTATTTCTAGATTTTGTAAATATTTAGCTATGACTCAAAAAATAAATAAAAGACAACAACGAATTTTTGCAGTTTGTAGCGTTTTAGAAAGATCTCATAGTTACAAAATAATAGTGAAGTTAGTGAAACGATTTTAGGGTTCCAAAATGGCTAGAGCTACGTTTTGTTGCTATTTATTGTTATTTTTGAAATACCGTTTATTTTTAACCGTTTTCTTCATATTCACTTATTCTCAATTTCATTGTGTATATAACGATTAAATACTAGGTAGTTTCTATTTGGTATTTTTACAATCCGTTGCTAAAAATTGTGATCATATCAAAGTTAAATATACAGAGATAATTGCGAGTAAAACATAAATTCATGATCAGTTTTGTAATACATAGGTATACTCAACTGCGACTGTTATCATTTTATTTACTTTTACGATTTATTATATTAATAATAATCGTTGCTATTTTAATTTCAGTATTGCTTAGTATCAGTGCTATTTACAAACAGCTATTTTCCATTCATCTCAATTTTACAGTACAAAGTATACTCCTTAAGAACATATTTAATTCTCGTTAATTTATAAAAGTAGTCACAAAATAGTGGTATTTTACTACCCGTGCTAATTACACTGCCAATTAATTGTAAATGAAATATTATCAATAGATAGCCACAAAATCGCCGAAAATCAGTTTTCTGATCAAAATTTTGGACATTTTAAATTGTTTTGCACACTTTTTTAATAATAGAAGACCACGAGTCTGTATCCTTGGGTGACCTGAACGAAGGGAATGGTTGTGATTTGATAAAGGACATTTTAAGAAGGGTTGAATAATCAATAAGCAGTGCCCGTCGCACTATTTCATACAGTTATACAATAAAATTAAAGCATTTATTCTCACCTGAACGTTTGGACCAATCATTGGACAAGCATTGGCGAACTGATGGCTCAGTATTGTGCTGTTATTGGTCCAGTATTGTGCCAGTAATTCGACAACAGTCCGTATCCCGTTCTTCCTTGTTTCTTTTGGTTTCAATACCGAGGACCAAATGTTCTAATTTGCATTTAAAAATGCTTTTTAAACTAAACAGTTGTACAAAAAAAAAAATTGTTCGATGAGATGATAAGAATATTTTAAGGAGGTTGATTTGTAAATATAAAGTTTATAAAAACATAAAAAAAAATATTAATAAAAAAATGTATCACTGTTGTTTGTATAGTATGGAATAGTGACAATTTTTGTTATATAGGAGATTTTTATAAAAAGTATATAACTAAAATGTTAAGTAAAGATATCAATTATAATATTAAATAGAATTAAAGATAGTTGGATTTGTGAGATTTGTGATAGGAAAAGGTTTTTGGGGGAAGTCTTTTTTTCCAAATTTTGTTACCTACGAGGGTTGGTCCGTATATTTCGAACCCAGACGCCCAAATTAAAAGTATTGAGTCATTTTATTCAGTAACGATAAAAAATGGGAAGAAAATATACGGAATGTCCATCGTAATTTTATTATAAAGGAAGGTGCTTTAAAATGGATTAAGAAAAGACTGCGAGGTGCCTAGAGATTGACAGAAAAAACAAATGAATGTCAATAGCTCTCTTTGTTTTCATTTGATAGAGTGGCAAATCTTTTTGGCTTCTGATCTCAGTATGTACACAAAAAATGATTTGTAGAACAATGTCGATTTTTGAATAAAGAATCTCCATGTGTATTATATTGTGTTTACCAAATGTATGCTGTAGGTATTGTTTTTTTTCCTTGTTATAATATTAATCAAATGTACAACAATACTTTCAACTTAAATTTGGTTTATACTGTATAATCGGAGGCTATATAGATAATTTTAATGAAAGAAAAAGTCAGAGAACAAAAAATTGTAAATAGAAAATATTTCGTACTTATTTTGAATTAAATTTTGGGTCATTTTGAGCTTAAAAGAAAATTGTAAGTTAATATAAGTGTACATTCTGTATAGTATTTATTTAATAATTTCGAAATATCACATTTAATTTTTTTGTAAATTTTTTGTAACTTTCTGTGATTTTTGTAATTTTAGTTGTTTTTTTTTTTTTCTAAATTTGTTCTATATTGTTAAACGTATGTACCTAAATGATATGTGTCTTGAAACTCATTAAACACAGTGCAAATCAGGACAGAAACTTAAATAATTAATACGTAGATTTTTAGATAAAATAAAAAACCTAACCCAGGATTTGTCTCAGCGAAAATTTGTACTATAAAATAAGAATAATTGTGTAGAAAAACAGTTGTATGTGTTAACTTGTGTAAAAAATATGTGCACAACATGATATACCCTCGGAAAGCTGGCGAATTGTATTCATTACATTAATTTTAGGTAAAATTATATATTATTATCCTACATTTCAGATCATTATTTACATTCAAATATTCATTTTTGATTTTTTTTGAAATACATCAAATATAAAAGTTCAAAAATAAGATGAAAATTTGCCAGATTGATGGGGGATAGAAAATTTGTTGACTTATCGTCCAAATAACATGTGATATGTCTGCATGATTGTTATCTGTCACCATTATAGCGATTATACACGTTATCTGTTAAATGTCTTCAAATTGTTTTGTACTTTTTTTACCAACCGTCATCAGTGATTGTAGTACCTACTATGCAAAATCCTGAGGATTGTATTTCTGATTTGCTGGTATGTACATCACTATATTTGTATTTAAATAAGTAATATTACAAGATAAAAGAAATTATGTAATTTTTGGTGATATTGCAATAGAAATGTTACAGTTTGTATATATAGATAGTTTTTATTCTATAGCAGAAAAATACCTACCTTTAGCTAATAAGGATTTTATTGATTTTAAAATACAATATTGTATAGTTTTTATTTAGTTTAAGACAAGGTACTTCTTTATATATAGTTTATTGTAATATTTTGTCTTTACAAAAATATAATATGGTAAAAAATACTTATATTCTTTTATTTTTCTCACAAAAATATTCCTAGATCGAAAAATAGCAAAAAATTCAAGTTACAAAATATTTATTAGTCATAGTTTTGCTAAACGCAATTAACATGTTTTGGAAATAAACCAAAGACATGGGACAAGCGCTCTTTCACAATAATAATAATAATAATTGGATTAATTTACTCATGGTCTATGCGTAAAACCAAAACTTTTACATCATATACCCAGACAGCACACCAAATCCTTTGGATATCTACTGAACATCCCAATATCCACTGAATGTCCAGTCCATGGTAGATATCTATTTTATATCCATGAAATGTAATTTATAGACATGCAAATGTCCATAAATAATAGTAATTATATAGCAAATTATTAAAAAATTACGCCATTGTGGCTAATAGTACCGTTCAGATATTTAAAATTAATTTTTTTAAGGTGTATTCAATATCCCAAGAACATCCACTAAATACCGGGTGTTCAAATTAAAGTGTTACAGTTAAATACCGCCGAAAATATGCATTTTAGAAAAAAAAATTTCAGACAAAAGTTTTATAGTTTTTTGGGGGAAACATTTTGGCCAAATTCATTTTTTTATAGCTGACCATAATATGGCCATATCGAGGTGGACTTTGTTTTTTTAAATGGGAATCCCATTTTTTTTTTTACATATTCTTAAAGTACCTAAAAAAATACTTTGTGAGTAACAGCTACTTGAAAATTTTGCTAGGCGAAAAAAAGTTGACCATATTATGGTTAGTTATAAAAAACGATTTTAGCCAAAAATTTTTCCTTACAAAACTATAAAACTTTCGTCTGAAACGTTTTTTTTATAAAAGGCGGTATATAGCTGTAACACTTTAAGTTGAACACCCGGTATATCAAAGTCTAGGCGCGAACGCAAACCATCGTGGATATCCACTAGATGTTATTTGATTCTGCTTACTAAGTATAGATGGCGATACCATTATCGCATCTACTCATGCTCGACCCGCTGTAATTGAGTTCGATCGAAATTGTTGTCCTAATCACTCCATTAGAGACTGGAGTCGAGAATTTTCATTTATTGCTGAAGAGTCCTAATAAGGATGACTTTCTCCTTAGTGGGCAAAATCAAAGGCAGAGTGTTGAAAATGTTTTTTATCTCTGCTATTTTCTTTCGACGTTATTCAATAATCATTGGTTACTTATGAACCTCTACTAAAGATACCCATAAAATATTTTGCTGAATATCCGAATATCTTCTATATCCTGGGATATAGACGGGCGTTTGGTTGGATATCCATATTGGATATATTGAATATCCACAAAATATATTCTGTGGATATCTCTGGGATTTCTTGTATTTTCTGGAAGATACCCATTAGCTATTTTGCTGAATATCCATTAGGATATCTTCTATATTCTGGATATAGACGGACATTTGGATATCCATATTAGATCCACGGAATATTTCTGATATCCTGTCCTGTGGATATATTGGATATCCACAAAAGATATTCTGTGGATATCTCTGAGATTTGGTGTGCTGTCTGAATACAGAGTCGTCCAAACTGTCCCCATGGCCCACTCTCTGGAGCCGTCCATGTTTCCAAAGATCTTTTCATTAGCGATTCTCGACTGCCTCCTTGCTTAGGTACTTCTGATCATTTTATACAAAATAACACTTACTATTTGTATGTCTAATAAACTAAACTTCCACAACGTTGGATATATACCTACAGAAGAGAAAATCATAGATCATAAATAAATAAAAGTATTCTTGTTAAAAAATATCTTATTTGATTTAAAAAATAGCAAATACAAATCCGAATGAAATTCGAGTGCCTTATTTTTCAAACTATGCCTGGTCAATCTAGTCATAAAAGATAATAGTTACCTATACTGTCATAATAGTAATGCTACTAATGATTAATAGATGGCACATGCAATATTTATTGGGAAAAAACAATAGATGGCGACCCTATGAAAATTAAAAATGTACGTTTTTAATATTGAAAAAACAAGTCAAAGGAAGAAATACAACTAGAAATTAGTTAAGACCTGTCTAGACTAAACATATTAAAATAAAACGAAAGAAAATAAGGAAATGTACGCAAGATTCATACCATTCGCCATCTATATTCAAATTTAATAGATATTACTGCTTTGTTCGCCCGACAGAGGTAGCTTCAAGAAATTTATACAAATAAATAATGATGTTTTATAAGGTATATACAGGAATAAATTATTAGGAATATATTAGTAATTAAAAGGCTATAAAATTTAAATAAACCAACATTTATTTTAAACAGTTCTTCATCCATTTATAGCTGTGTTAAAATGGTTGCCTAGCTATTAGCATAACTATTTCTTATTGATGTGCTAGATGTCACTATATGTAGAAGTTCATTTTGTTCGTCTTTTATCCAGCGTTGCTAACTCTACAAATTATTCGGTAAATCTACCGATTTAGAAAGTATTTTATGGATATACCGATTTTTGATTTTATATCCGAATTTTATTTTATTATTTTACTCACATTTATTGTTTTAAAATATATACCTTATTTTTTCGAATAAGACGCACCGGACGATAAGACGCACCGGACGATAAGACGCATCTCAAATGTATGATGATTTTTAGAAATATATAATATGTAGGTATTAATCGGATCCTAATTTTTATTTATTATCATAACTAGTACTATCAGCCGTCTCGTTAATGTCACCGTTCGTGTATTAATTCTATAACTCGTTACCTCTATTATTTAAATTTACCTAATGGGGCATGTTCAAAAATTTTGAAATTTTTTTTATGAATAGTAGAGTTAAAAATAAAACTACATTTTTTTTATTTTTTTTTTATCTATTCATTTGCCGGAGTTATGAATTTTTTTAAAATTTATGACGTCACCGGGAATAGACCAATAGGAGCTAGCGCACAACGTTGCCGGCTAGAAGGTTTACGAGAAGTGATGTACGTTCGTTTGTGTACTCCTTCTTACTTTTAGACTTCTAAAACATCGTTAAACAAATATCTTTTAAATATATAATATCAAATGTTTTTTGAAAGTATTGTTTCTGTTTAAACTTTTACTATATTTAAAGTTTTATTGTTTTAAAAGTCACTTAATAATTCAGAAAATGGCAAAACGGCAGCACTGTATGTCATCTGTCATAGTGTCTCCATCAATAATTTATTTGGAATTTGAGTGTTTATTTTGTACTTTTTATAAATAAATATTATGACTACGAAAAAGTGTTTTGCTCCAGAATGTGATAATGATTCACATTCATCTTCAAAAATATTTATTAGTGTTCCTAGAAATTTGGAAAGAAGAAAATCAACCTTCTACTAGCGATGTTTCTCGTAAACTTTTTAATAAAAATACACCGGATTATCAAGATGTAGCAGCAATTTCTGCTAATTGTCCCCTTCAGGAAATTGAAAATGAGGCTACTAGGTGTATAACCTAAAAACCCTTCTGGAAGAAAATGCAGAATCTCCTGAAAGTTTTGAAGATACCGAATTTATTCATCATTTTGTGGAAGAACTAGTGATAAAGAAATAATAGAAAAATGTGGGTATTTAAACAAACTGGTTCCTGGATCCCATATAATGGCAGATAGGGGTTTCAGAATATTTAGCTACTTGAAAACATGGGATGCACTTTAGTAAAGCCACACCTAGTGTATCACAGAATGAAAAAAGTTCTCCAGAAGATGTACAATTAAGTAAAAGAATAGCATCTCTAAGAATACATGTGGAAAGAGTTATAAGAAGGGTTAGTTAATTTAACAAGTTAAAACCACATTCGTGTGTGAATTTTAAGCAAGTACATTTACTTAGTAATATCTGCATAATTGTTTGTTAACTTACAAGAACCTATTTTGTAAGAGTAAATATTAATTTAATAAATTTTTTTTGTTTGTTTTTTTTAATTTAATTTACCTAATTATCACATTTCAGGGATTATAATGAGTTTTTAAACAGCCAATGTAATTTTTTATAAAATTTTAACTTTTCGAACAAATCAAAGAGGAATGAGTACTTGTATATGCATAGATTTTTTTGGGACTAAAACTACCAAAACAAAGGCACCTATTTACAGCAGTTTAAAATGAAACATTTTGACAAAAACGCTTATGTCACAGTGATAAATATTAAAAACAACCAAGTTCAGTTGAATGTGGTAGCAAAGTCTATATATTCCAATAAATCGGGTAACTACATGTGGTATCACTGGTGATAAATTTAAAAATATCACAATTCTTGCTACCTTTTTCAAAAAACCAGAAAGTGTGCCTTCTTATCAATCCTTTATGAAAATGACAACAGTGATAAATGTAAAAAAAAAATTTAATGTTGCTATTCGTTATTACGATAGTAAAACATGTTTGCAGTTCCGTTTATTTTTTATGAAAATCTAAGTAAAAACAACCAATGTCAAAGGGTTATAATTTTTTTTCTGTTGAACCAAATATATCACAAAATTTAAAAATTGATCATAGGTCAAGCAAGTAATACCTTTATTGATAGTAGCTTTAAAAAAGGAGAAAGAATAATATTGACTTAAATTATTATTATTATTATTAACATTGGTGATTTTTAATAAAAACTCTTCAATTATTGTTTACAAACAAAAATATAAAAATCTGTGAAAATTTTATTTATTAATATTTTAATAAAAAATGAGAAAAATGAAGTAAAAAACAATTTATTTACAAATAAAAAATATATATATACAAATCCTAAGAATATAAAAGTACTGATTTATTTTCCTGTAGTGGATGAAGAGGTTTCTTTAACAATCTAGCCAAGTGTACATCAATATTTACGCATTTTGATAAATTAGAGCCTTTCCAATAACACTGAATAGATGTTACAAATAGTTCATCACTTCTTCTATGAAGCCACATATTTACAACCAACTGAAAAAATAAAAGGGTTAGATATGCAGTTACAAAATAACTATATAACCGGCTACAAAATGCCTTTATTTTATGTAACAAGACGAGCAGAGCTTTACTAGCTCTGAACCTCGGATTTTCAAAACTTAAAAAAAAACAATCTCACCACATTTTTGAAATATTATAGAGCTTTTCGAAAAAAACTGCTATTTTTAAAAATACAATTTGTTTAAACAGCTATGTCTCATTTTAGGCTATTGAGTATTATAAAATAAAAAATTACGGGATGCTTTGTTAGCTTCAAACTAATCCAGCAGAGCACCCCAGTTTTTTTTTAAACCACACCACGTTTTTTGGCTCCTACAATATTATAAAATATTCGAAATTTGGCATTTTAAAAAAAATTCGCAATTCCTTGCTGACTTCAAAGTTTTTTTCTGAAAACAAATGTACTTACCACATTTTTAGGATTTTAAAACAGCCTAAACATGTGTCATAAGTAGTTGTTTTTATATATATAAAAAAAAAAATTAAAAAACTGAAGTGTCCTGCTGACTTTGTTCCAACAAAGCACCCTGTATTATTTAAAAATAGCATTTTTTTTAGTAAAGTTTTACAATATTTCAAGAGTCTAAAAATATTCTAAAAATGGGGTGTGGTTTTTAGAAAAAAGCTTTAAAAAACCGAATTGCTCTGCTGGCTTCTTTCGAAGGTTAGCACCATGTATTTTTAAAAATATAATATTTCAAGTGCATAAATATATGGTGTTGCTGTTTTTACAGAAAAAACTTTATAAAATAGAGGTGCTTTGCTGACTTTGTTCGAAGCTATAGAGCATTTTAAGTTTTGCAAAAAACGAGGAGCATAAAATTTTTGAAAAGGGTATAAAAATAGCCTAGAAATATGGCATATTTTTTAACTCAAAATTTCATAGGTGCTCTGCAGCATTCTTTGGTATCATAATTATTACTAGGTTCACTAACAAAATCTGTTTCTAGACTATTTTAACACTTGCTGCGACTACAAAAAATGCCTATATGTCAAAATTAGAAAAAAATATTTATAGGTATAAAGGGCCTTATAAACTGTTTATTATATGTAATATAAAAACAAAAAAGCATAATAAATATTACAAACCTTGACATGCAGCATATCCTAAGCATATTGTGCACTAAAAATTTCATTTTTGTTATTTACAATGCAACCACATCAGAAGGTTTTTGCCGTACTTTATGTTTAGGTGTAATTTGTCTCCTTCTCTCTTATGGAAAAAGAAATTATCCCCATATTCTTGCTTGGCAGATCTAAAAATAAAACCTGAGATAAATATGTTTTACTTGCTCCATATAAACTGTAACTACCTACTATTAAAACAAAGTCTTACCTTTGTGACTTTTGTAAAGTGAGTATTGTTAAAAAATGCAGTAATCATCTCGGTAATCATATTTTCGTTTACAATGGGTAAAACACTTGATTCAACTTTTATAAATCCAGCTGATTCATATTAATAATAAAATTAAACCAAAACAAAAAACTAAGGTTAGATGGTGTCAATTTTAATGTCACTTAGATGTGCGTTCACTTCGACATTCTGTGTGTTGGTTTGTTCGTTGGCTTGGTTTTGTATAACAAAAAAAACTTCGACACAAGATGATTGGTCTATTCCCGATGACGTATAATTTCAAATTTTAAATTTCAATTGGGCTTAATTTAAAAACTTTTGGCTTTTTTAACGAACTGACTATTTAGAATAACTTGTATAGCGACTAACTATTACAATATAATTTATAAAACAGCATATCTCACATGTGAACATGGCCCATTCTCACCATTTCTACAGATTTACTAGGATGGTTTCTACCGATTTAAAGATTTAAGGGTTGGCAACGCTGCTTCCATCGACGATTTCTCGACGATGCTCGTGGCTCGTTCGCTGTTCGCTCGTTCATTTGCTGTTCTGAAACGTCAAATGCAGGTTGGTTCTTTTCGTCCGTTCTTCGTTCTTGTTGATTTGATTGGTCGATTTCCGGCTTTCAGAGTTTTGCCGACATGACGACTGACACGCTTGCCGAAATGAAATCAGAAAAAATGTAAAATCTAAAGAAGGAAAGAGCATCCAGATTTAAGGTAATTTTTTTAAAGTTTTTTATATGCCCGAACATCCGTTTCAGATAATATTTTTGCAATAAATCTCACAATTTTTGAATTTTTTTTAATACAAATTTTGTGGTTCGCCATCATGGTAAACATTTATAATATGGGCTCGTTTTAAATAAGTTATGTATTAAAAATGTAGATAATAATTTAATTAGATTAGTATTTATTTCAATCAAGCATAGTATTAATTTTTGATTTTTTTATTGTACGATATATTTATATAGTCGATTCATTTTTGTGATACAACATGGCCGTTCCTCATTCGTTCATACATTTAAATAATACGCCATTGTATTATTAAAGTAAGTTATAACAATACATCATATTATAAAGGGCGTCCCAAATTTTACCTTCGGATTTAATTTAATAATAAAACAAAAGGTCCTTGTATTATTTTAAAGTTTAAATATTAGGGTTAATAATGAAAAATGATATCCGGCATGTGACCCCTCTGCTTCTTTTACACAATTTTCAAAAATATTTTTGCATTCTGTTCAATTTCTTAATAAACCAATGGTGTAAGGTCGCACGACCTAGGCGGACAATTTGCTGGAACCATATGTTCTAGACATACATATCTTATAATTCGTTTCACAAATAATTTCATAATCATTGTTCTGTATCCTGCTTCTTTCACAGTTATCGAATCACCACCTTTATTCTGGAAAAACTTTGTTTTAATTAACCTATTAAAAAAAAACGAACAATAAATGCTTAACAAATAAAATAAACCATCAAGTGCGAAGTACCTTCTTCCTCTTCAGTTCAAGTCATCTCATTATCTCATGACCATTTGAAAATGTTATTCATATAGCCAACTGAAAAGGTAGGCAACACACATGACACTGGTACAAAATTAATGATTCAATATAAAATCAGGTACTTTTTTTTGTGGAGATCTAATAAAGCAGGTCCTCTTAGGACCTTCTCTTAAAAAGATCCTCTATAAAAATGTCTATATTTATAACTCTGAATTTAAGAAGCATATTTGAGTAAAAAATTACCATTTCAGTAAAAAGCATGGCATTTTAGTGAAAAGCGGCGCATTTTTGTACTTTGGCATGACCTTGCCAGCAAGTTAAAAAGCGGGATAATTACTTATGCCTAAAACGTAGAACAGAAGTAAAAGTTGGAAATGCTTTTGCCAGTTCTCCCACTTTATACACATAACTTGACAGGTTGTCAGCGGATCTCACCGAAGTGGACACGATACATTGGCGTACAAAATTATTTTATAGATGTTAATAACAATTTCGAGTAAATAGTTTAATAAATTGTGAATAGCTGTTGAAATTTTGTAAAATTATAATTTGAATATTATAATACATGTTTAATAATTATTTATAATCCATAAATACATGCGATTGTCCGGTTCCGCCGATAAAAATTTAAAATTACTTATTCTATGAAACGACACTGGCAGGTAAACATTACTGTGAAATTCTCGGAGCCGCCCGACGTGGTTTGACGTTTACCCCCTCTCTACCTACCAAAAGACTTTTCAACTTTTACTTTCTCTATAACGTCTGACAACCCTAGTTGCAACATAGCCTTCCATCTTGTACAATATTTATATTCGAAATAGTAGTCACCAAGCCTGCAAATTTAAGAAAACTATTATTTTACCCCTAGCCTAAATGACCCCTTCATTAATTTATTGGATCTATGTCACAACCTCTTCAATATACCATTCATTTGGCAGCCATCTTTTTGACCCTGCTTGAAAATTATTCCCAGTATTCCTATTCAAACATACCGATATCATGTGGTTTCCTTTTATTTTACTTATTTCTTATAAATCACTCTTTGTCATGTACCATGAAAGTTTTTTTTTATTAATTTATTTATTGTCAGTCTGTTTCTAATCATGAGGTTTAAATATCAATGCTGTTGAGCAAGCTACCCCTAAATACGAGAAATTTAGCCGAATCAACTGGTGTTCCAACTGGAGGTATGGATCATGGCATCATGAACACTGAACATGTTAATAAGCTCAAGATCTGCAAACTAAGCTGGACTTATTTTATAAAACTTGAAAAAATGACAAAAAAATAAATTTTTACATTTGTAATGTGTCTTGATCCAAACTTCAAATCTCTATATAGAATATTTTTAAATGTTTCTAAAATGATGTCTAATACAATGTAACATCTACATATTCAGAAACTAATATTTCCTTAACAGTTAGGAATATTGAGAGTTTTACTAATATTTCAATATTTGCTAAAATGAATGTAGCCGGTTTTGCAAGTACACTGCTTATATTATGTTAGTACAGAGGAACTTTTGCTATGTTCATCTCCTAACTAGTCCAAATAAAGTTACGAAGACAAACATTGTGTTCTAAACATATCGATGTCTGGATTATTATGTTTTATTTGGACTTTGACACAGTTTCTTAACACTTAATTTTTAAGGAACTGCTATTTTTTGGTCCTAAATTAAATTCAGTACATAGTACCAATATACTTATTTAATGGTGTATTGGCCTCCACTCTTGAGACATTTTTTTTTCTTTACCTACATTGTTTATTAAATTATTAACCAATTAAATATCCAAAATTAATGTATTTTTTTTAACACGTTTACTGTGAACAGTAAATTTGCTCCTTCTGGCTATTATTGTCATTAAATAAAGTAGGAAAAAATTAAATGCCACTAGCAAAAATTATGAAAATTAACTCTTGCAGAATTATTTTTTGTTTTAATCCAAAGATCTGTTAATTTTTGTCTGTGCAATCTGTTTGTATTTTTTTTTTAAATAAATAACACCTGAAAAAGTAACTTCAGTAAGACCAATAAAAATGAACTAGTTGGTGTGTCATGTTAAACAGTTTTTATATCTAATTTAAAATGATATTGTTGTGTTGATAAAACAATTTTTTAATATCAGTATTTCAAAATTTCCTCAACTGTTTTTTTTTTTTACAGAAAACATGTTTCTTTACAACTTGACCCTTCAGAGGGGCACAGCTATAACTCATGCCATCCACGGTAATTTTTCTGGTTCCAAAATCCAGGAAATTGTCATTTCGAGAGGGAAAATCCTCGAAATTCTCCGTCCAGATCCAAACACTGGAAAAGTTCATACACTCTTAACTGTGGAAATTTTTGGCATAATTCGTTCTTTAATGCCTTTCAGATTAACTGGAGGCACCAAAGATTATGTAGTTGTGGGTTCAGATTCGGGAAGATTAGTTATTATGGAGTATATACCTCAGAAAAATATTTTTGAAAAAGTTCATCAGGAAACTTTTGGAAAATCGGGTGGTAGAAGGATTGTACCTGGCCAATATTTGGCTACTGATCTGAGAGGCAGAGCTGTAATGATTGGGGCTATAGAAAAGCAAAAACTAGCTTACATTCTAAATAGGGATGCTCAAGCTAGACTAACAATATCGTCTCCGTTAGAAGCACACAAAAGTAATACGTTGGTTTACCACATGGTGGGAGTTGATGTAGGTTATGATAATCCAATTTTTGCTTGCTTAGAAATTGATTATGAAGAAGCGGATGCTGATCCCACAGGAGAAGCTGCACAAAAAACTCAACAGACTTTAACCTTTTATGAAATAGATTTAGTGGTTAACCATGTTGTCAGAAAATACTCTGAACCTTTAGAAGAACATGCTAACTTTTTAGTAACGGTACCTGGCGGAGATGACGGCCCCTCAGGGGTATTAGTCTGCTCCGAAAATTATTTGACATACAAAAATTTGGGTGAACAACATGATATTCGTTGTCCTATACCACGACGGCGTAACGATTTAGACGATCCAGAGCGAGGAATGATTTTCGTTTGTTCTGCTACACATAAAACAAAGTCTATGTTTTTCTTTTTGGCACAAACTGAACAAGGAGATATTTTTAAAATTACATTAGAAACAGTTAGTGATATGGTTACTGAAATTAAATTGAAGTATTTTGATACTGTACCTGTTGCCACGGCTATGTGTGTATTGAAGACTGGATTTTTATTTGTAGCTTCAGAATTTGGAAATCAGTAAGTATATTACTATTAATTAAAAATGTCTGCCCACTATTTAGTTTTCATGTTTTTACAATTTTACATCGAATACTTTTCAATCATTATGCTCTTCTTTTATAGGAACAATATTCTCTTATTCTTCGGCGTTTGTATTTATAACCGTGTTGCATCGTTAAATTGTATTATGAAAAAAAATTGCTAGTTTTATTTGAAACCTGTTTCCAAATAACTATTTTGGATCATTTAAGGCCCTGATATTCACCTCTAAGTAAAATCTCTGTTCTGGTAACTTTAATGTTTATTAACTCTACTTAACAGAAGGTTAAGATATTCATCCCAAATTCCTGCTGTTAATTATTTACTGGACAGAAAAATTTGATGTTTAATGCCATTTTAATGATTCGCTTTCTTGACTGGTATTTTGTTTTATAGTTAAAAAAATGTCTACTTTTTAAATATTATTTGGTTTTTGTATTTTTAAAAATATTGTGAAAATTGTTAAAATTAATTTTAAGTTTCTTTTTTATAAAAACAAAATTAAATTTTGAAAAGCTTAATATTTACCTATTTTTTTAAGTTTTGTCTCACTAAAAATAGTATATAGAGAAAGGGCCGCCGAGAGCCACGTCGGGCCCCAGGAACAATTCTCCAGATTGGGCCCCGCGACAATTTTATAAAAAAAATTTTAAACAAAAAAAAGGTCTTCAAACAAAAATTTCTCCTCCTAAAATGTATCTAAAAAAAAGTCTTCAAGCAAAAATTTCTCCTCCTTATTTACATTACTCTAAAAAAAGGTCTCCAAACAAAAACTTTTCCTTCTCTTTACTGAATCTCTCAAAAAAAAGTCTTCAAGTAAAAACTTCACCCCTCTCAAAACTTCACTTCTCTCGTGCTGATTTTCTGAAAGTAAAAAAACCTCGCTACAGTTGCGGGGCCCCCTTATATCGCTGCCGGGCTCCCTTATATTGCTGCCGGGCCCCGGGAATTAGTCCCAGCTGCCCCCTCTTGTTGATAAGGAGTTGTGAAGCCAAAGACAAAAATATATAATTGATATTGCACTTGTTTTTATGTGATTTTGATTAAATTTAATCAATAAAGAATCCAGCCAATGCTAAAGAGGTATTAGACATTTTGAATTTTTTTTTCAACTTTGATGTTTGATTATGGATTTTGAAGTAATGCAGAAATTTGATAAATAATATTTTTTTTTTTCGTGAAATGTAAACTAAACACTGCTTAAATATTTTTGGGACACACTGTTTATTTTATATAAATTAAAAAATATGAAAACCGAATGAATCCTCTAAATATAACTGGATTAATTTACCATAATAAACCTTTAAAAAAACCTTGTCAAATGACAGGAAATTTTTTAACACATTATATCGATGGTTTAATTGCAAAAAAATTAAATTTCACTTTTTCATCCCATTTACAATTAGTTAAATTACACTATTGGCTTTGGACAATATTTACATGAGAAATTTGGCTACTCCTAATAACACATAATGTAATCATTAAACTAAAAAAGTTTCTGTAAAATGTCAATCCATGCAGTTTTTTTGACTTAACATTGATGCCCCCACAGAATTTGTCACTTATTTTCAAGACCTACTAAGCTTTTCTATAACTATACACAGCTCAAAGGAAGTTTGTAGCATTATAGCGAGGCGTACTATGATATAAAACCATGCATTATTTGCTAATTTTCTGACTGGCATCATATTGATACCTTGCAATCTCAAAAAGGATAATCAGTAAGGCATCCAATAAATGTCACACCATACTCAATGCGTTAAGTATTCAGAATTTTTCTTTAGATTTAAAGAAATAAGAATTTTACATAGAAATAGTATATATCAAAAATGAAACCATAAGGAGAAATTAGTGTGTCGGAGCTCATGCGTATAACGGTGCTGGCTCGAACAGGACCGGTGCAAGTTTTTTATTGATCGAACAAATAGTTGGCACGATGTTTCAGTCATATATTTTTAGAGATGATTCTATATAGAAAACGATGAAAAAAATCTAATTTAAGGTAAATATGGTTCTGAAAGTGCTTATTAAAGAAAGATATGGCATAAAATATGAATTAGTTAATTTTCGGCAATCATTAGTACTGTAGTCACGAGATTTTGTATGTGATTTGACATCTTATTTGATAGTATCATTTGCTACAACTAAATTTAATCTGGGGAGTGCAAAATAGGGGGCAGTTGCTTTTCGCACAGGAATATTATGTTCGACATTTTTTTTACATTTTGTCAGCCGAGACTATGAGTCGTTACTTACAATTAGACAGAAAACCTTTCATGTTTACCATTTTCAATATAAATTAAAAAATACTACTACATTTCATATTTTATTTTAATTTTGAACCCTTTTAAAAGGGTCTTTCGGTTCCATAATAAAAATTAGTCGCTGCTTACTAGAAACATTCTATACAGTCTAAACCAATTTATGGATTGTTTTCGATCAATTTAATACAGAGATTTAAAGTTTTTAGTCGATAATAACATTCCACATCAGCACATTGCAAACCTATTTTATAAATAATAAGAATAAACTTGTAAATCATTAATTTGGTAGTTATCTCACTTATGTTTTTTTTGTGTATATGTTCCATCGCTATCAGAAATAATAGAAGTGGCATCTCATTTAAAATAAAACGAAAATAACAGAACTGTTAGAATATTTTGGATGAAAAGATCTTACTGCTTACTATTTTTAACAAAAAATCATTCATTGTTTTGTCAGATATCGATAATGTCTCCCCGTCGCTGGGCAGCCTGTATATAAATATACAGCTCTCTATTTACATAATTATAATTCTTAGGTAGGTTTAGATTTTCAGATATAAATCTTGTAATAAATAAAACAGCTGCTTAATACATTGATTACAATTTCATTAGCCAATGTAAAAATGTATTTTATTGTACCTAGGATTTAACTAAACACTACAAAAAACTAAAAATAAAATGCCACTTTCATCATGTAATTAAATAATAAACTACAAACGGTCCTGTAAGGGCAGCGTCATATAGTTTTGAAACACGGGATTTTAGTGCTATTGCCAGGTCAATATTGAATTTGTAGGTGAATCGCTTATTGAACATTAATACCGTATTTGTACATATTTTTGGGAATGTAATTACACATAAATATTATTAGTTGATTATTTAAATGTTTATAAGTTATTTTGTGGCGATATTTCATAGATATAAACTGTTTAAATCATATAATTTAAAAATAAATTAATTTAAAATTCTTTTCTGTTAGGTATGTTTAATATACTTGGCAACACTACAGGGACAAGTCATGCATATTGCGCAAGCTTCTAGACACACTATTTTGCGATGTCAGGCACAGTATGTTTCAATTTCTGCTTAAATTTTATATTTATATTGGTCTTCTATATTATTTCTATGATATTTTAGTTGGACTTTGACAAAGTTTCTTAACAATAATAATTTTTAAGGAATTGACATTTATTTATAGTCCTACATAGAATTCTCGTACATAGTACCAATACACTTAGTGTATGGTGTATTGGCCTCCAATCTTGAGACATTAATTTATTTTAGTTTTATCTTCAGTTACAGTGAAATGCTTGACTGCCCCCCCTCCCTTGTCTCGATCCTAAATTGAATGAGATAGATAGATACTTTATTGTTTTAAAATATAAAATTTTATAAACAAAGTCTAAGTTCTTATAGTACTAATAGGTATTTACACAATTTAAAATTAAAATAAGAATATAAAATTAGGTATTTACACAATTTAAAATTAAAATATAAAAATGTAATTAAAATAAAATAAAATTGGTAAATATTACAGTACACATAAAATTTTAGTTAAAATTATCATTATAAAATTCTTCAATAGAATAATAAGTTTTTTTTAGCATAATTTTTTTCACACTTCCATAGAATACTTTATAATTTGTAATTTTTCTTATTGCCAAGGGTAAATGATTAAACATTTTTCTTCCGTTGTATACAGTGCTTTTCAGATAAAAGTATCCACCTTAAGTAACTTTTGAAGGACTGATTATTACAAAAAACAAAAAAATACGTCAATTATTCGAAGGGGGAGATATCGTGCCATATTTAAGATTGCTAAAAAAGTCACCCTTTCACCCCTACTATCATCCCTTCAATATTTTTAAATGGCTTGCCCCATTTTTTATCCATTTTTGGATTGCTCTCGTTTAACTGATTTCAAAAATGTATAAAACATGTTGATTTAAGTAATTAGTTTACGATCTACAGAATTTTAAATTAAAATAAAATTGAATTGTGCAAAACTTTTATTTTAATGATTTTGTCACAAGCGTTTCCAATGACAAAACGAATATTTCATTTTCAAAATTTATTATAAAAATTGTTCAAAATGTCCACCATTTACTTCCATACAATGGTATAACCTAAATTGAAAAGCCTCCCTGACATTACCGAACACGTGTGCATTTAAATGTAGGCATTCATACTCTATTCTTTGTCGTAAATCTTCTAAAGATTCTGGTTGGGTAGCATAAATTTTTGTTTTTAAATAACCCCATAAAAAGAAGTCTAGAGGTGATAAATCCGGTGATCTAGGTGGCCACTCCATCATCGAGCCTCTTCTGCCTATCCAATGATTGGGGAAAGTTTCATTTAAAAATTGTCTTAATGGCAAAGCAAAATGTGGAGGCACTCCATCCTGTTGAAAGACAAGCAAATCTTCAGAAAGATTATGATCATTTTCTATTATTGTTGTAATACGTGGATCAATTACTTCTCTCAATAACTCAAGATATAACTCTCCATTTAAGTTTCCGTCTAAAAAGAAAGGTCTGTTGTTGTTGAAACGAAACCTATGTAAACAATAAAAAAACATTTCCTAGGCAGTCATAAAAGTGAAATGAAATACTAGGAGTCAATTGCCCTTTTATATCCAATATTTTTTTATTTAAACTAGATTTTATTATGATCGCACTGTATATATTAATCCCCAAACAAAAGGGTTAAGAAATGGTAATAAATTAACATTTATTTTTATCACAGTTACCTATATCAGATCGCGCATTTGGGCGATGATGACGATGAATTGGAGTTCAGTTCCGCGATGCCCTTAGAAGAAGGTGATACGTTCTTTTTCGCACCTCGTCCTCTTCGTAATCTTGTACTGGTTGATGAAATGGAATCTTTATCGCCCATTTTGTCGTCGCGTGTAGCCGATTTGGCTGGAGAAGATACGCCACAGCTTTACATGCTGTGCGGAAGGGGCCCCAGATCTTCCATGAGAGTATTGAGACACGGTTTGGAAGTCATGGAGATGGCCGTGTCTGAATTACCCGGTAATCCAAATGCTGTATGGACTGTCAAGCGAAGAAGTGATGGTAAGTTTTTGTTACTTGAAAAAAATAGCTGATGCAATGATTCATTATTGGTATGTTTCTGATTTAGAATTCTAATTTAGAATTTTTACACACTGCAAAAGAAAGAAAAGCTTGAAACAATTAAAATTATATGATTATATTTAAATTCAAATATCAAATTGGTCAATGATTTGAGGGGTTGGGGGGAGAGTTACATTTTTTAAAAATCACTCAGTTATGAACTGAAACATAAATGTATTGCTTGTTTCTGTCTTGGCAAATTTGAATTTAAATGTTGAATTCTTATTGTTTGTACAATGCCAAAACCACGAATGTGTAAGTTTGGAATTTTTCGCCCAAGCGTTTTAGCAGACATGTTAAACCTTAACAGTTGTCAATGCTAAAGTCATGAATGTGCCTCGAGAGGTTAAAGGTCGATTCTCACTAGTTCAGGTCACGCTCTGCTCACGGTCCATTTAAAGAGTGATGCAATATTGTGATACTATTCATATTTAGCGTTTTGCTCACAGTCGGCTTATTATATTTGACCTCTGTTTTTCTCCTTGCGGATATTTTGAATGAACCATGAGTAAACTTTTGCGTCAATGTGTACAAACAACAATCAGACTAGTTACTTCTCTATTTCCTAGCAGCGAAATTGCTTCCTGAAATGTATTTTGCCTGATCAAATTTTACTGAAATTTTATTCAAAATCTATTGAGATGTATGTGTTGATATACGAAAATCGTCTAAAAGGCCTTTATATAGAATGAATAATTGAATCGTCAAGTTTGAAAACCATACAAATCCAAAATTTGACATTTTAAAGTAAGATAACCTTTTCGTTTAAAATTTGTCTCTTCATTGATTGAACTTCATCTATTGTACTAGATACCTATCCGTTAACATTGTACAACTGATTACACCCGTGAAATTATGCAACAAACCGTACATATTCGTGACCCGTTAAAAGGTTTTTATCGTTTTTCTCAGAAGGCTGATTTTGGACATGTACGGTTTCGAATTCACTGATTCAATTCTCCTTCGGTTTTCCGTTTTCTTAAAATATCGTGAACATATACCTTCCGACGTTTTTGTGTTATTGTTCTTCATCATCTAAACATATTGCAATGGTAATTAAATTAAGTATTAATAATTTGTTCAGCTTAACAAAAGGCATGTGTCTATCCTTTTCATAAAAATCCTTGTGAGTGTAATGTGACCTGAGCGCCTAGTGAGAATCGGCCTTAAACCACTAAGCCCGATGTCTATTTTGAGAGTTGGAATTTAACAGTTGCTTCAGTAGCTAAGTCATCAATTTACTATACAGGGTATCCCGAAATTAGACGGTTATATTTTAACAGTGCAATCTACATCCTAAAATAGGAGTAAAAGTATATATAAACATAGGTCCGAAAACGTTTCTTTTCCGAGATACAGGGTGTTAAAAGTGAAATCCTGATGACACACTTTTGTAAATATTTTCTAAACGTTTAAAGATAACAAAGTGAAATTTTGTACAAATGCTTACCTTTTTACGCTCTATTTAATGGACTAAACCTTAGTTTTTGACCATCTTTATAGGTGGGTAAATTTGGGGGGGGGGGGTTTAGGGTAAAATTGCCCTAAGTTTTTTTTGTTGACAGTTTTTAAAATTTGGAAAAATCAATGTTTTCTATATAATAAAGCTACTTTTGTTACATCTTGCTAGGACACACCATTTTCAAGAGAAAAGCATATAAAAATTTAATAATTAGTTGATGTTATCTTATTCGAGTGTAAACAATAATTAGTAGCTGTGGAATCAGAAAATTTATTTTTTTTAACTTTGGGAATCCAGTCACTAGAGAAATTTTAGAAAATGTGCCATCAGGACTTGGTAACACCCTGTATCTAGGAAAAGAAACGTTTTCGGACCTATGTTTATATTATGAACTTTTACTCCTATTTTAGGATCTAGATTATGCTGTTAAAATATGACCTGCATTTGCAAAACTAAAAATTTCCACATTTGTGTATTTGGCATTATACTGACTATATTACTTCATAAAGTTCCGGTTGAGTTTCAACTCTTAGATAAGTAAACATGAATACATTTTTGAACATAATCTCTTTTTATAATTCTCTAAAGCATCGTTCTACTTGATTTTCTTAAGTTTGTATTTTCTATTCATTGTTATTGCATTCTCATTAGGGAGCGGTTTTTAACCATTCCAATTACCCTACTTTTATCTGATATAGATCCAACTATGTTTGCCTTTGTTAATCTCCTGCATATTTTACACCTTATATATTTTATTATATTACATGTTTTTGGTTTTATAGAAATCATACTTTATTTTCTTTCTGGCGATATACCTAATCATTAAATTTATTCCCTTCAATAATTCAATAATTTTATTATTATATTATGTTTTTTTATGTATTTTTGTTTGTTTTATGCATATTTTACTGCTTAAATTAAAATGTGTGGTTGAATATGAATAAGATTACTTTAAGAATTATAGTGAATCTTAATTTTTATTATAATTAATGTGTACAACACTGTATTGACAAATGTTTTGATTTTTATCCACTAATGAAATCTAAGAGTAATAAATATTCATCATTTAGCTATTTTATTTAATTTATAGTTAGATAAGATATATATTTGGCATTAAGTTGTATTTAATTATGTTTAAACATATTTTAAAAACTACAAAACATTGTCAATACATACATATCAAATGTGAAAGTTGCTTAAAGGAGTAATTGTTAAAAAATAAATTAAAAAAGTAACAATCATTTTTAACAATGCCTGGCTGTTGAACCTATTTCAACACCAGTGCTTTTTTTATTTCAGATCCTGTACTAAGAGAACGGATGTTGCCAGTTCGGTAAGTTTCTACTCTCAAGAGCCCTATCTGCAGAAACATAGAAGCTTTTTTTTTTTTTTCAAATTTTCAAATCCAATCTTGATTAAATGCTTAGACTAGGATGATTAGAAGAATTGAATTTTAATGTGGGATTTAATATATAAGGGTGTGTACATGCCGAATGTGCCTCAACTGGTGATTGTTAAATGGATATCATTCGATGTAATACACATAATGTATGGTGCGAGGGTGCGCTAATCTTTGGTAAGTACACTCTCATTAAAATTAGTACATTTGTTATTACATCGCCTATTGGTCATCGAGAAATCATCGACATGTACACACCCTAACAATTTGAATCTTCCAATAGAATTATATTCCAATCTTCCTATCATTTTTTTATTTAACTGCCACGTTTTTCATGATGAAGTTTTTAGTCCGTGTTTCAACTGAATCCAAGTGATTACACCCTTCTAAAACTGATATATACAAAACTTTAGGCAACTTCTACTTTTTCTGTATCACTTCTTTAAAACGAGTATGATTTTAATTGTTTCAGATGAATTTGATGCCTATATCATTGTATCTTTCTCTAATGCCACATTGGTGTTATCTATCGGTGAAACGGTGGAAGAAGTAACGGATAGTGGATTTTTGGGTACGACACCCACCCTATCTTGTTCCGCGCTTAGCGATGATGCCCTTGTGCAGGTAAGAAAATTGAACAACAATACTTATATTTAGCCTTTTGGTTATACAAGTCCATCCATGGCAAACATGATGATCAATTTACGCTTGTCTGTAACTGTCATTACAAAATTTGCTTATGACATTTTTGGTATAACTATACATTGCACAACATAATTTTGTGTAATAATGAATATTTTGTAAATAAATGCTAAGAAGGAAGTGTTGTGCGTTTGAGCAGTCAATTTATTAAATAGGTAATCCTAATATACCTACATACAATTTATAAATACTGTTGAACAGCTTTTGAATACATATATAATATTAAATACTAATAGATATAATATAGATATAAAAAATTATTTAAAATGATAAGGTAAAATAAAAATATACAGACAGAAATATAAAAATTTAAAAGAAAGAAGATTGATCAGAGGTATATTCATGACATACTTTGTTGGATATGGTTTAGTAACATTTTTCTAAACGTTATTTGCAGTTTTTATCTCATATGGAAGAGCATTAAGTCAATTAAAAATTGAGTTCATAGTGCGACAAATTGGTTTTACATAAAATTCAGTAACTCTTCTTGTGGGATAATTTTGAATATATAACATAAAAATAGCCTATCCTTCACTGACAACCAATTAAATTTAATGTGGAAAGCATTGTAATAAGCATTTCAAAATAATTCGCATTTCTCTATTTTGCAATTTTTGGAGTGTCTATTGACAGAAACTAATAATCCTAATAGGCTCGAGCAGTAATCAAAATGAGATTGAATGATTGTTTTATAAACATTATGTCAGGTCTTAAATGTAAGATGATCACAAACCCTGCTGAAGAAAAACATTTTTTTTTTTATATTTTGTTATAAATTTATTGAAAATTCTTTTTGTAGTTTAATATATTATCAACTACAAAACCCAAGTATTATAATATCGTGCAATACATTCATGTGAAACAGTTTTTCAGTTGACGTTGAATACGTGGAAGTTAATGGTTGATGAAAACAAATATATTGTAGGTGTATTTTTAGACTTTTGAAACCATCGACATTAATCTACTCCTCAAAAAAGTCAAATATTATGGTTTCAAGGCTATCTTCTAAACAGATATCAAAGATTAAAATTAACAATGTATCTTCTATCGAAATTCGTGTATCCTCGGGTGTACCCGAGGGAAGTGTTTTGGGGTCACTTTTATTCATTTTGTACCTCAATGATCTTAATTTTGTAAAATAATTTTTAAATGTATTTGCTGACGACACCCTATTTTTCATCATTAAGTATAGTATTTTTAAAAGGTTTATATGCTAGATCCCTATTATGCAACTTCATGATCGTACCATGCTACTTGATTTCGGATGCAATCATGCATAACAAGAGTTATAAGTAACCCATTACGCACGAAATGAAAAAGTTTACGCAATGCGTAATTGGCTTGCATCTTGTGTAACGTACTATACGTTTTTTAGGCCCACTTATTTTCTTCTATTAAATAAAGGACATATGCTTGTGTCGCCAATCCATAAATTTTCGACAGGTAATTTCGTACCTTTTAGCGATAACAAATTATGTGTGGCAGCTTGAGCTTTTTCTAAAATCTCCTGTGGAGTGTTCATAATTTCATCACTTTCACTACTAACAGACATATTTGTAGGTAAAGTTGAGAAAATGTTCGAAAACGATAATATTTTGTTACAAAAATTGACAATATATATGAAAAAACGTTTATTTTCACAGCATGCTAAGAAAATGAGACTTATTTTTTTGAAAAATTGTATAATGTGTTGCCGACATTTAGGGGCATCACTTTTTTAATCCAAAATGTATCTTGCTAATGCTAAAAGTTATGTTTTTCAGTTGACTAAATTTATGTAAATAGACCAAATAAAGTCGAACCTAGAAAAATTTGATTGCAATTTGATTAAGCTAAGAAATTTAAGTTTTATCAAAACGCACGTGTATGTTATGAGATATCATTACGTGCATGTTATTGTTAAATGTCATTTACAAGAAATGTTAACAGTGCAATTTTTAACGTAGAAAAAAGATTTTATTGGAGGAACACTATTAATCATCATTTCAAGTGTACTCATAATTTCATCATAAATTCTACCCATGTCTACAGTATTTAAATCCCAATTGCAAACTAGTAATTTTTTATTCAAAAGTTCTAGTTTATTTGGACTTAAATCTCTAAAAGTTTTTATTCAGATGCACTTTATGTGTGATACTACCCCTATTAGCTAAAATATAATCAATATGCGTTTTACTGGTAATAGTTATTCTTGTAGGTTGCTGAACTAATTATTGTTCAACTCTTATGCCCATTATAAAATTCTCTATGATCACTATTACTTTCTGACTTAAAGTCGTCAAAAATAACACAGCTAAAATATTTTAAGTGAAATCATTCTCTGCCTAATCTTTAAAATCATTAAAAAATATATTGATATTTTCACCACATAATTTAGTTTTAATTAATAAACACCAGTACTATGTTTCAACAATAATGTTGTTTTTTTTTTAACACTATAATTCAGATATAAATTAAAAATACCATAAAACGAACAAACCAAAATCAGTATTTTATTTTCACATTTAAAGAAAATCAAAACATTTTTTTTTAAATGCAATCAAAAACGAGAACTTTTTAATTAGTTGATTAATGAACATTAATATTTAACGTACATAGGTTGGGATTTAATTCGTGAGAGTTCAATTTGAATGCAGAATAATGATGCAAGTGTGCAATAACTCTGTATCAGTGTTTGCAATTCGAAAATGCTATAATATTGATAGTATGTTTCATTAAGGTAGTCGTTAACTAGAATTTGTATATTAACAAAAACGTTAAGTGCCGAAATAGCGTGGAGATGGGAAGTTGGATTTTCAGAGTTGGCAGTTTTTTTTTACCCCTACTCTAATAATAATAATAATAATAACTGCAACTAAAATTGAATTAGTGCGAAATAAAAAAAACTGATTTGTATTTTTCACCAGTGACAAAAGTTCAAGATTTGAAAGTTGTTGAAAAATGTAAATGTCTCATCATTTTTGTACAGTGGATGGATATGTATATTAGAATTTGTAATTCGTAATTCTTTCAGGTATATCCTGATGGTATAAGACATATTTGCGCGGATAAGCGTGTAAATAAGTGGGAAGCTGGCAAGAAGAGTATCGTCAAATGTGCTGTGAATCAAAGGCAAGTTGTTATTGCCTTGTCTGGGGGAGAATTAGTGTACTTCGAGATGGATCCGGTAAGTAACCTTGAAAAATATGTAGTTTTATTTTCAGTTACCATTTTAATATACAGGGTGTCTGTAAAAGGTCTTTACAAAAACATACCACATATTCCTTAGACCAAAATAAGTCGATTTAAGTAAAATTACCTTAGTACAAAGTTGCTTCGTTTGGGCTCCAGAGGGCCTTGAAGTTACAATTTTTAAATCGTTTTTCCCATATAAATTTAAAACGGCATATGCGATTTTGCTGAAATTTGGTATATTGGTAGAGTTTTATGTGGCAAAAAAGTGGTATTAAAATTTTGTCCGATAATAATACATAGGCGTAGAACTTGATTTTTTAAATAATTGCACCTTTAAAAATTCTACGCCAATGGAAGAAAAGGAGTTTGAGTATGAAATTTAGATTGCGCAACTCATTTACTTTAAAAAAGATACTCTTGATAAGACTCGATTAGTCTCATGGTTTTCGCTAAATTTCAGTTTTAATAATTTAGAGTGTATAGGTTTCCCAAAAATATTTATTTACAACATAATCAAAATAGAGATTTTACACATTGTTCAAAATGTTCACCATTTTCACGCATGCAAAGATTTATACGTCGAAGAAAATTAAAATGTATCCTTTCCATAACTTCTTCATCACCTCTAAGATTGTTTATTGCATCTTGAATACGTTGCCAGAGTTGTTCCTCATTTTCTACAGGTTCCCTGTAAACTGTGGATTTCAGATGTCCCCATAAAAAGTAATCCATCGGTGTTAGGTCTGGGGAACGTGGTGGCCAGTTTACAGGTGCGTCATTACCTCTGCCTATCCATTTGTGTGGATATTGTTCATTCAAGTGGTTTCTAACGTTTAAAGAAAAATGTGGTGGAGCTCAATCTTGCATAAACCACATCTCTCTCCGAAGTTGGAGAGGTAAATCTTCTAACAATTCTGGCAACGTATTTTGTAGAAAATCCAAATCATTTTCTCCAGTTAATCTTCGTGGAAGTATGACAGGACCAACAGTGAAATTACCAATTATTCCAGCCCACACATTAATTTTGAATTCGTGCTGAAAATGGATTTTCAACGGCATAAACATGTTCACTATGGGTATTAGTTATACCTCTTCTTGTAAAACCCGCTTCATCGGTAAAGAGAACCTTCTTGACAAAGTTTGGATCTCTTTGCATATTAACAAATCGACAAAAACCCAAACGAATTTAAGGATCATGGGCTAATAATTCTTGTACTGGCTTCTTATGGTATGGATGTAGCAATTGTTCTCTAAGCACTTTATGAACGACATCTTTACTTACTCCTAGTTCCCTTCCAATTCGTCTGGTGCTTAATTCTGGATCTTCTTCAACACGTTCTAAAATGTCTTCTTCAACTTCAGGAATCCTTACAAAACGTTCTCTTCCATTATCAACAGTGTTGGGAGCAAAGGAACCGGTCTCCCGAAGACGTCTCTCAACAGCAGCAAAAGTTGGGTGGCTAGGTACACGACGATTTGGAAACCTTTTAGAGTACACCCTGACACTCCCTCAAGCATTTCCTTCACAAAATCCTAATGTCAGTAACATATCGGTATATTCTGCATTGGTATATTGTACAGCCATATTAATAAACCACGCATTTGTTTTTTTAATAATTGAGTCAGATAGAACACTTTCAATCGTTAACAAGAGATTAGGTGTTAAAACTTGACAATATTTTTATTTAGATGAAACTATGGAAACCAACAATAAATGTTTTTGTATCCGTATTGCAGGCAAATAATTAATATTCCTCAAAAAATCGTACATGGCAAGAATCGAGTATTTTTGTTAAAAGTCTCGATTAGAGGTGTTGAAGAAGATATGAAAAAAAGTACATTTTTATGTTTTTCATCGTATAAAATTTTGTCCGATAATAATACATGGCGTAGAACTTGATTTTTTAAATAATTGCACCTTTAAAAATTCTACGCCAATGGCAAAAAAGGGGTTTGAGTATGAAATTTGGATTGGGTACTCATTTACTACAAAAAAGTACCCTTGATAACACTTTACTCTCATGGTTTTGACAAAGTTTGTATTTTAATAATTATTGTTTATGTTCTAAAATTACTAAAATGCAAAATTTCGTCAAAACCATGAGAGTAATCGAGTCTTATCAAGAGTACCTTTTTTAAAGTAAATGAGTTGCGCAATCTAAATTTCATACTCCAACTCCTTTTCTTCCATTGGCGTAGAATTTTTAAAGGTGCAATTATTTAAAAAATCAAGTTCTACGCCTATGTGTTATTATCGGACAAAATTTTAATACCATTTTTTTGCCACATAAAACTCTACCAATATACCAAATTTCAGCAAAATCGCTTCTGCCATTTTAAATTTATATGGGAAAAACGATTTAAAAATAATTGTAACTTCAAGGCCCTCTGGAGCCCAAACGAAGCAACTTTGTACTAAGGTAATTTTACTTAAATCGACTTATATTGGTCTAAGGAATATGTGGTATGTTTTTGTAAAGAACTTTTACAGATACCCTGTATTGTTATGACAAGAGTGTTAATTTCCTTACTGTTTTTATAAAAAAAAAATCTGATGTGTCCAACACATGACTTTCCTATCTAGTTATTATAGGCTTTTTCCGGGTATTTTATATACAGATAGGAAAGTAAAAAGATTTCAAAGATTTTTTAATTCATTTGTACTAAATATTAGTTATATGTTTGTATATATTTACTAATTTGAATAAAAAGCTGCAATTAATAACTAGATACTGAAACAACAAAAAAGATATTTATCAGCATTTAATCAGATAAGATAATGGTTTTTGGTAGAATTTTACGGGTACCTAGTTTTATTTTAGTGAAATTTCTTCATTTTATTTGTCGACTGCAAGTTTTTGAAAAGCCCATTATGCTAATTTTCTCAAATTTGTAAATTCTTCACAAAAAGCGATGTTAATATGATGACAACTTGAACTTATTATTAGTAACATTGTTATTTCAGTTAACACTTTGCATGATTGTAATGTGTCTGCTGATATTTTATTTGTTAGTAGATCAACAATTGTGCTAGATAAAATCGGTCTTGTCGCCTCCGCTGTATCTTTGTGTTATATTGGAGTGAATCAAGATTGTACATATCATTTTAATACAGTATATTAACGATTAAATAATATAATTAATATCTCTAAGGAAAATCTTATTTTTTTTTTCAGACAGGTCAATTACATGAATATAAAGAGAGAAAACGAATGAATTCAGACGTTCTTTGCATGGCTTTGGCTAATGTCCCACCTGGAGAACAGAGGTCATGGTTCTTGGCTGTTGGTTTAGCAGATGGCACTGTTAGAATAATTTCTTTAGGTAAGGTTTATCCCATTTTTTATTAAACAATTGGCTAACATTAATTTTTTTTAGATCCAAGTGATTGTCTAGCTCCGAGATCTATGCAACCGCTGCCAGTATGTGCTGAGTCACTGTGTATTGTCGAAATGGGTTGTACAGAAAGAGATCCTGATAATGCTGCTCAAGCTAGTACTACTAGTACATTGTACTTAAATATCGGTTTGCAAAACGGAGCACTATTAAGGACTGTTCTTGATCCTGTTACCGGAGATTTAACCGATACAAGGACGAGATATTTGGGTTCTAGGCCTGTCAAGCTTTTCAGAATAAGGTAAGGAAATGGTTTTTTTTTTTTAAATTGAATGACTCATTATTATTAATATAATTTACTTTATTTCAGAATGCAACAATCTGAGGCTGTTTTAGCCATGAGCAGTAGATCCTGGCTGAGCTATTACTACCAAAGTCGATTTTATTTAACTCCATTGTCTTACGAAAGTTTGGAGTACGCATCAGGTTTCAGTTCGGAACAATGTCCAGAGGGCATAGTAGCAATTTCTACGAATAAGTTGAGAATTTTAGCTTTGGAAAAATTGGGAGCCGTTTTCAATCAGGTCTCATTTCCTTTAGAATACACCCCAAGAAAATTCATAATTCATCCGGAATCGAGCAACCTGATTATCTTAGAGACTGAACACAATGCGTACACGGAGGAAACCAAGAAACAGCGTCGTCTTCAAATGGCCGAAGAAATGCGAGAAGCGGCGGCTGATGACGAACAGGAGTTGGCTAAAGAAATGGCCGAAGCTTTTTTGAATGAAGATTTGCCAGAGACGATTTTTTCTGCACCGAAAGCCGGTCACGGAATGTGGGCGTCGACTATAAGAATCATGGACCCCGTACAAGGCAGTACTTACAGATTGATCAGGTTGGAACAGAATGAAGCGGCCATGTCACTAGCGTTAGTTAAGGTATGTGATTTATTGGTTTTAATGTATGTGTTTTTTTGCATATTGCATTAAGTTCTGAAATTTTTTACCAAAATGTTCCAAGTTATAAATATAAATAATTCCTTTTAGTACACAAAAAATAGGAAAATTTTCACTATAGTCAAATACCACAATTGTAGAGAGTGACTTACACTTTTAACATAGACCTTTGCGGGCCTGAGGGGAAAGGAAATTGACGAGTCATAGGCGTGCGGTTATTATTAAAAATGATCTTCATTATTTTAGAACGAATTGGTTGTCACAAAAATTATTTTCCTATTTTAAAGATGCACAAGGTGAGGAAAACGGGCGATAATAATTATCGAATAAGTATATATAAATTCAAATATATATATACAAGCTCTGTCTCAGTGAAATTGGCCCAACTACCAAAACCATTTTTTTTTTGTCATATTAACGAAAAACTTATTAAAAACTATAATATTTCTGATAACATGATGTTTATTTAATTTTAGCCTAAAATACCATTTTTTTGTAACAGAAAAAAATCATAAATTCAAAAAACCATATAAAAAAAAATTACGAAACCAAATAACTGCAAATTACCACTGCGTTACATCGCCTTTTCGACTGATTACTGATTCGATACACCTTGACATAGTGTCATTTAATGTTTGACAGTCATCTGCTGTAAAACTGTTCCAAATTTCTTGAAGACGGGTTCGCAATTCTAGAACGCTTCTTGCAGGATTTCATATGAGCTTTTTTCTGATATGCCACAATGTTTCAATAGGCGATAGATCTGGGCTCCATTTTTAAAGTGAAATATTGTTTTCTAACATCCAATCTTTGACTTTTTTTAGCCGTGTGACAAGCGACACCATCTTGCTGGAAGATACATTGCATATTATTTAAACGCATTTTTTCAATTTGGGGTTTTAAGTTATTTTGAAGTCTATTAATGTACTTATCAGTATTCATAATACCTTCCACAAAGTGTAAGTTTCACACTCCTTTACCTGACATAGAATCTATGTATAAAAATTCCTTATTATGCTCTAGTTAGAGAAAAACTTGAATTTGGAGCTGAGATATGGATGGGGGAACATCCAACGAATCTATATGAGATTGAAAAAATTCAAAATAAATTTCTGAGATATCTTTATTTCAAAAAACTCCATATATATCCAGACTACAATCTTGTTAGAACTGCAAACTTAAAAAAAATATTTAAAATACCTTCCCATCACGCCAGAAGGAATATGTTACTATACTTGATACGATTTAATATACCTCCGAGGAGAATAAGACGTCCATGTATGTTTAATATTCTTTTACTGCTTACCACTGCCAGGTCACCTCTTGTGACCATGCTCCGATTGGCAAATAATATTAACACTTGTATTGATGTAGACTGGACACTCTACTTGTATTTAACTATTACATTTCTCTTAATTAATTTTAATAGTGAATAAGTTGTAATATTAGTTGTAATTACTTACTGTTTATTATTGATATTATTATTATTATTATTATTAATTATTATTATTATTATTATTATTATTATTGATGTATTATGATACTTTTATCCATGTAATAAGGCCGTTGGCTTATTTGGATACAAGTAAATAAATAGCTCCCCAAATCATAACAGAAGCCAGAAACTTAACTTTCTTTCTAAGACCGTCATTCTGAAACACTTCCTCTTTTGTTCTTATGACACGATTCCTACAATCAACAATGCATACTTTAAATCTGGCTTCATAATTCCAACTAATGGAGTTCTATTTGTGGAGACCATGACTGATGTTCCTTTGCCCACGCTAGTCTATTTTTCTTCTGAATCTTTGTCAGTAAGGGCTTCTTTTTGGCCTATGAAATATTGAATTAAAAACAAACAAAAAGCAAAAATTATTCTAGCATACCTTGTAAGTTTTAAATCTCAGTTTTTTGGCAGCTCTGTGACAAATTGCTTGGAAAATGGTTTTCCTGTTGCCATAATATTCTCAATTTGTTATAATTAGCACACTGATTTTGCTTGATAATCCTTTTTAAAGCTCTTAAGTTGGCATTGGAATATTGCGGATAATTTCCAGTTCTCAGTTTTTGAGCCACATCCAGTTGTTTTGTACAGTTTAATAATACTTCGAACTGTATATCTCGATTTATTAACACTAAGTAATTTGGGAAAAATTTTGGCCCTTCAAATGTAAGTGAATTATCACTTTCCTTATTTCGCCATTTTTGGTTAACAACAACACCAATGTTAATTAAAACGTCAAAATCGGCTTCTTAGCAACGTCAATTATCATTTATTTTACAAAGCCTGCCTTGATTTTATTGAAGCTGATAAACCAACTATTGCAACTTAAGTTGTCTCCATCAATTATTTTGTCAAACACAACATTTTACAAATAAAACAATTTCGAAATAAAAACTTTTTAGAAATAGCCATGCTGGTCTTATTATATTTCCATAAACATTTAAACAAACCAAAAATATTATATTTTAAACAAAATTTTAATTTGCCCTGAGATAAATTCATGTTTTGTGTGGTTTGGCCAACTTCACTGAGACAGGGCTCGTATATTTTATATATATCCTTGTTGTAAATTGTAATAGTCTTTTGAGATGATGATAGTAATCGTAATAATAGTTCAACATCTAATACAAATTTGACATATTTATCTTTATGACACTGTGCTAAATTTGGTAATTCGATTTTTAAAATTTGTTCATTGAATTTAATATTTTTCTTAGTAAGCCAATCTGCAATCTGGGCTTTTCTCCATTTGGTGGTTGGTAACTGTTTACACGCCGGCTGTGGTATGGAGCGTTATCCATAACAATAACAGATCCTGGTTCGGTTTTTAAAAGAATATCTGAAAACCATTCAGACTATAAAATTCTAATTACGTCAAAAACTATTTACCGCCATTCGAGAGTTACACGTTTTGATAAATATGATTGTTTAAAAGTGGATACTTTAATGAATTTAAGAAATAATACTAAATTTTAGTTAATTCTAAACATTCATATTTTATATTTGTTTCTTTTTCCTATTTATTTAAAAAATTCAAATATAACTTGGTACGATTTGAAGTCTTAGATCATGTTCTGCATTCTGTAAAAAACGAGTTTTTGTTAACTGTGGCGCCCTCTACTTTTGGATTTGTGTTTTAGAAAAAAATGGATTTTTAAAAATAACAAAATGTCAAGGGCTAGGGGAATTAGGGAGATACAATCATGAGAAAAATATATTTTTATTTTACCATTGGATTACTACAAGAATAACATTATTTTTTTATTCTTATAATTACTACTTGTAATCATTCATTTTTAATGACCATAAACATTTTTCAGTTCCACGGTCAACCAGAGCACCAATGGTTCCTAATAATTGGTGTCTCCAAAGACTTCCAGATGATACCTAGGCAGTGCAATGTTGGATTTTTGGATACCTATAGAGTCGATCTCCTTGGTAAGGAATTGGAATTGGTTCACAGAACCGTTGTAGACGAAGTACCAAATGCTTTGTGCTCTTATAATGGCAGATTATTGGCTGGAGTTGGAAAAATGTTAAGACTGTACGATTTGGGAAAGAAAAAGTTGCTGAGGAAATGTGAAAATAAGGTAAAAATATTGAATCAAGATAGTTTTTATTAATTAAAATTAAAATCATGATGACAATTACAATTTCTGAATAAAATGTGGAAATCCTGCAGTGCTGACTTATTTATAAAAATATATTTTTTTAATCTACATTTAGTACTTATGTATTCAAAAATAATATTTTTTTAGCACATTCCAAACACCATCATTAACATTCAAGCTATGGGCAAGAGGATTTTTGTTTCTGATGTACAAGAATCCGTATTTATGGTCCGTTATAAACGCGCTGAAAATCAGTTAATAATATTCGCTGACGACACACACCCACGATGGATTACTTGCACTAGTGTCCTAGATTATGATACGATCGCTACTGCTGATAAATTCGGCAACATAGCGATCCTCAGGCTTCCATCTAATGTCAGCGACGATGTAGAAGAGGACCCTACCGGCCATAAGGCATTATGGGATAGAGGTCTACTGAATGGAGCTTCACAAAAAACTGATACAATCACCACTTTCCACGTTGGTGAAACGGTCACGTGGTTGCAAAAAGCCACTTTGATTCCTGGTGGTTCTGAATCGCTGATTTATACGACGTTATCAGGGACTGTAGGTGTTTTGGTTCCGTTTACCTCTCATGAAGATCATGAATTCTTTCAACACTTGGAAATGCACATGAGAAGCGAGAATCCTCCGTTATGTGGAAGGGATCACTTGTCATTTAGAAGTTACTATTTTCCAGTCAAGGTGAGATTTTTTGCTTATTATTCTCATTTGGTAAATTATTTTCAAACGGTAGCGCACTCTTAAGTAACCCAAAATGCAAAAATACTTCTTTCAAAGAATATTTTACTCAGTTTTATTAAAAATATGTTGCCTTTTGAGTTTGATGAACATTCATCAAATCATTGAATAGTAATTTATGTTCAGCAACTTGTATTAGTGTTAAAGTGAATGTTTTTTTTTTTTGTGTGAGAAGAATGGGTGTTTTCATTAGTAACTTACACCCGTATGCATAGTCTATCGCCAGCGATTCGCCGGAGATTCATTCCGGCGTATCGACAAGCGATTCGCTGGCGAAAGCCCGAAAAGGTGGCGACCCGCTGGCGATTGTCACCAGTATGTCATTCCTCGCAAATTTTCATATTTTTTTATAGGGATTATCACTGGCATCTCTCGCATTTTATTATTGATTAATTTCTTAAAACTCAAAAAACAATGAATGAATATCAAATTTTTCCCTATAATAGAAATTGAAAACTTGCGTGAAATGACATGCCGGTGACAATCTCCAGCGTGTCGCCACCTTTTTGGGCTTTCGCTGGCGATCGACTATGCATACGGCTGGATTTTTCTGTTGTGACTTGCTGTTAATTGTTTGTGGTAGAGACAGTTAATAAAATTCATTGCAATTGGATTTAAGTCTGGGTGGTATAGTGGCGATCTCAAGACTACAAAATGTATTTAAGATGGTCTGCTTTTAGGACAGCAATGAGTTTAAAAAGAAGAAAGTGACATTTGATTTTCAACACAAAAATAAGAAATATTTTTCAAATTAGTCAGGAATTTACCATCTACTTGCCAAAATTATATTAAATGATGATCTACTAATTCACATGCTAGACTTATGATAGCAATGATTTCATTTATAGTTTATCTGATTTATTTTTTAATATAGTTAATTAATTTTATTTTAAAAATGTACTATAAAAAACTTTATTTCCAGAATGTTATTGATGGTGACATGTGTGAACAGTACAATTCTTTGGAGCCTTCTAAGCAGAAGTTTATTGCTTCAGAGTTAGATAGAACACCAGCGGAAGTTTCTAAGAAACTTGAGGATATCCGAACACGTTATGCATTCTAAATAAGTTAGTTTAGCTTTAATTTTTTGTAAATGTGATTTATTTATTTGATAACCCTTGTATTATAGTGAGTAATGTTTTTATATTCAAATAAAATTTTGAAATACAACATACCATTTTTTTAAAATTTTTTTTTACTATTAGCCTTAGACCA